GAGCTTGGCATCATGAACTCTCAATTTCCTGTCAAAAGCAATGTAAATTTCAGGATGAGTCATTCATTTTAGGGCTATCTATAAGTCAGTTAGCTTTCTATTTGAATTACTTGTGAAATGTTTCATGAGCTTGTAAAATGGAATAGTAAAACTGTAAAAAATTAATTTCATATCACTGTAGTATGTGTTCTACCAAACGATTGGGACTCCAGCTGCAATTACGACACGGTAGTAAAAGTCTCATTCTTAGATTATACACAGAATAAAATTTAGCTTCAGGTCAAGTGCTTCAGTATTTCCTTATTCAATCTGAATCCCTAATTCACTGCTCATTCATTAAGGCATTGCATTTCTTCAGTTAGTTCAATATGTCATTTTGAGTCGGCATAGATTTGGCAAGCACACTTTAATGAATCTGAAGTGGTCTGGATTGCTTAGAGACTATCACTCCTTCATGATTTACAAGAGGGAGTGAGGTGATTTCATTTTCTTATAAATTTTAATCTGCCCCTCCACTGAGGTGCACAGCTGCTTGCTATGCTTACAGGAACACTATAGGCTACAAAACATGACCACATGATCCCCAAGTAAATGAGATTTCAAGGAAGGTTATGTGAGATTGGTTTATTGATTTAATTCCTTGTAAATATGAGACAAAATTGAGAATTTGTAGAAAACATTGCTAAATTAAGACTTATCTAGTTGTGAGAATGAGACCCAGTCTTGTTGTGGTCTAATTTTTTGATCCAGCATCTTACAGTTTACATCAAGATATTTTTTTTTATGTCAGTGGTCCAGTTTGAGACTGTCATAGAGAAGATAACATTTGGGACATACATAATACTGTATCATCAGCATAATGCCAATACAGAGAGAAATAAATGTACATGCAAAACAAAAAGGGAAGGGCCCAGTATACAGCCTTGTGGAACCCCTGTAAACAGAGAGGGACAAATTGTTCTTTATCAGTTTTAATCATCAAAGAAGAAAATGAGATTGAAGTTGTTCAAACATTTGCTGTTAGGATGATCTGTTTAGAGCCTTGGTTGGAGTCCTCTGATTGAAAACAATAATTTGGAGGAGTAACAAGATAAGATAACAAGATCGCCAAATAGCTACTACTCCAAAAGCAGTAGAACTATAGACCTGTGCAGTCTTTATACAAAAATAATAATCATCATCATCTTTTTCATTTAGAATGGCCAAAAAGAGACTGTTTTGATTGTGTTAGTATTCAGTATTAAATGGCTTTCATCATTGGACATGGCTACACAGTAATTCTAACTCATTCACTTGATCTGGACACTGATTTTCAGCTTAATTTATTTATATATATTTTTTATTTTAAATCATTGATATCTGGATACTTCAAGTGTATTTATGTAGCTGGTACAGATTAATAACCATAATATATTAGACTTGGTTGACAGTATTGACAGTCTGGACAGACCGTTTACCCAAGGCTTCCCTGTTGCAAGCCATGGGTATAATATACTGTATTAAGACAGTAATCACAATAGCCTTTTGTGCTGCTATGTTGCTCCCACTACAGTGTATTCAGAACCGATGTCTTTGTTCAGACAAGCAAAAAATAATCTTACAAAAGTGTTAATCCTACAAATGGTAGATTTACGGGCGAGCTCTCAGATTTAAATAATAGATTTGACCATGAATCACTTGGCACTCAAGAACCAATGATGTAACCAATAACCAATCAACAAAGTGCATTGTTGGAATCATCTATAGCCAAACATGATTCAGGGTCTGTGCCGGTGCAGGATGTGGTCAGAGATTGTATGAATTTCGGAAATGATTCACCCATCAGATTTTTAATGGTTTCTATGGGGATGATGAGAGTAGACAGTTGGACAGTGGTTCGTCTTGCACCTCTGTACCATTCAAATTTAACAATTTGAAGGCAGCAAATTATGAGTTATCATAGGTCTTCTGCAACATAGAACATAACATGATTTTTCAGTAATAATATTGAGGATCATTACCAAGACATTATTCATTTTTACAAATGACCCAGGAGTTATTATATATTGTAGAAATATATAATATATGCTGTCATTTTACATTTGATATCATTGGAAAGGCGTACACCAGCCTTTGCGCAATCCTGATTTATTACATTCTGTGCCATCATCAATGCAGTTTAAAAACAAAGACATGGTATGCAAAGAACATAACAGAAATCCCTCAGTTATTAAGTCCGTAAGATATACCTGGTAGAAAATTAGCCTAGATTATGCACATATCATATTATCTCACAGTTTTGCCCTTGAAACTATATGCCCAATCTGTGCCTATGCTATAAATTTCAAATGACATATGAGTTTCATCACTGAAGAGATATGGGATTCATTTTGGCACAACTAAGCATTTTAATGATAGTCACTAATATCATTCATATCTGCAAAATTTCCAGTTCAGTGGCTGAATATTCTCATATCCGGTGGGAGTGGGAACGCCACTATGTCTTCCCAAAGAGGCAACAGCAATATTGCATGTCTTTTGAGTATATGCAAAGCATTTCCCATTTTCCTTCAACAGCGCTCACTCAGAGCAGCCATGGCAAATATCATTAAATGCCCCGCTAACACCCTACCCCCTCTACACACTCACACATATACACAAACAAACACATGCACAAAACCACCTCTCCCTTCTCTGTGCCCGTACTCATTTTTCCCCTTCTTTTTTCTTCCTGGCTATCACTCAGTGGCAGTGCACGAGGGAAAGGGAGTGCATTGATCTGCCAAAGTGAGCAGCCATTTCACAGGGCGAGTCTGCGCGGCGCTCCTGTCCCTGAATGGGAATTGCTCATTTCACCTGGCCGCCTTGCCTTTAGCAGACTAGTGGGAAGCCCCTGCTAGAGAGGGACAGAGGGAGGGAGGGAGTGCAGGAGTCAGGGCCCCGGTCAGGGCTTGGCAGGCGGCAGATAAGAGCTCCTCATGCTGCTCCTGCATGCACTTACCACTGCTGCCGGAGCTCAGCCTCTCTCACTCCCTGTCTCTCTCTCTCTGTCTTTCACACACTCACACGCACATACGCAGAGCTTTTCTCCACACATGTGAGGCACTAATAATAACTTTGGCGTTCTGGTGAGTCAGCCTTCTTTCCTCAGGCAAGGATAAAAGTAAAACATGGTGCCTTTATTGAGTCTGAAATCACTAACTGTGGAATTCCCAGAACAGGGCTTTAGCTCGGCCTGTATTCCATTCAGTGCCAAGATGCCATGTGTCCACAAGATCTAATATTGTGTCCAAAGCAGGTGCTGATAGACTGATAAACAAGCCAGTAAACTATTTATGACATTCACATGAACAACATACAGTACAGGGAATATGTACTTGTGAAAATCAAAACAGTTGTAGCTGAATAAATTAGCTCATTTCCATTTCAATATGGATGGACTGTGTGTTTCTTAAAAATCAAATTAACATGTTCTACAAAATGCCGTGTTGCCAATTTCCACTTTAAATTAGGTATTTCATATACCAACAGTCTTTTTGCAATTAAGTTTATATATACTGCTAATTTGTTTTGCCAATTTTGCTCTACAGGAAACGCAATAATTGCCTGGTTTAGCTTTTTTTTTTTTTTTTTTCCAATGAAGTGCTGCAATTGTGCGCTGCATGCAAGATGTAGGGAGGTAATGGACTTGTTGAGACTAGTTTTGGGACACGTTGCCACTTCCATTGAAAAAGTTACTATTTATAAATTTCTTGAATATTGCGTTTTATTGAATGCTTTTCACACAATGATAAATGGACTGCATTTATATGGCACTTTTCTATTTTTAGGGACCACTCAAGGCGCTTTACAACACAGGCACCATTCAGCCATTCACAGGATGAATGGCCAAGGTGCCACCTGCTCATCAGATTAACATTCTCACGGACTTTGCAGTGAACTTTAAGGTTCAGTATCTTGCCAGGACACTTTGACATGAAGCATGCAAGGGCCAGGAAACGAACCATCAACCTTCCAGTCGGTGGACAAGTGATTTCCCCCCTGAGCCAAAGCCACCTTAATGGCAGTGAATGGAATTTTGTTTGCATTGCTTATGTAATTGAAAAATGGCATCTTAAAAATTGACAAAAGTCTGGATAATCTAATGCCAGAGACAGATATTGTAATACTGGCTTGGCTTAATACCAGAATTAGGTGAAACACTGCTATTATCACTGCTTCAGAATTTTTACTGAGATTTATGCCGTTTTGTCAATATATCATGTCAACTCAGTCTGTCTCCGCCAAACTTAACCTGCATATAAGCGGAGCCTTCAGCATTTCAGTATCTGACTCACCTCTCCATCAGTGACCACCTACCCCTCCACCTCCCCATCCTTCATTTGTCCGAAACGCATTCCATCCAGCCACTTCATTCCCCTACTTCATCCTTCACATGTTCTCAAATTTATTTCTCTCTATCTCTCTACCCTGGTCAGCCCACTTCCCTCCCTCCATCTAGCCCTATCTCTCTGCTGCTCTCCTTGCTCAGTGACAGTCTCATCACACTCTATCAATCAGGCTTGTGAGGCCCGGGCGCAGTGCAGCACAGCATCGCACAGTCCTAGTCTGGTCCCATCAGTGCCAGTCAGTCTCCCTCACTCTCTCAGTCACTTTAAAAAGGTTTAGGTTGCCAGATATAGTCTGGGCCCCCCCCCTCGCCCCATCGCAGGTCAGGAGATGGGAGGGATTGAGCCGGAGTCGAGATTCAGCTCAGCTCTTGATTTGATATCACTTGGCATGTTCTCTGTCCTGCCTCGACACTCGAAATATAAAAATCTGCCTTTTTAAACAAAGACGGAAATGTGGACACATGATCAGCTGGAACCCTTGGCTGAAAAATTTCAAAAAACGTAAAGAAAACGCAGCATGTGGGCGCCCTTGATGTGTCGCATGGAATTTGAGAAAATGAGGAATGATGCAAAACAGAGGTCAGAACATTCTTGTCCTACGCTCATCAGATATTCTTTTCAGTCTCTTACCTGCCGCAGGCCTCATCCTGTGGTTGACGTCTCAGGAAAGAGAACTGCATAAATGAGAAAGACAGAGAGGAACAGGACAGAGATGAATAGCTTAATCAGCCTGTCTGTGGAGTAAAGAGCCAGCATTTCTGTACATGTATCGCAAAAAGCAAGGAACGCTTCATTTAAAAAAAAAAAAGCACCAATGAAGTTCACTGTACAGTGCTTGCTATAAAAACTCTTCCTGCTATTTTTTGTTCATTTAATGAGTTAATTACTCAACACCATTATGTAGAAAATATATAGTAAAGACATACAGGATGCTTGTTTCACAACCAAATTTCAGTTGAAGGAACAGAAAATTGCATGTGCACTAGAGAATGACTTAACCGCAGTTATCGATTGGCTTTGTGAATTATAATGAAAACAAGTGTAATTACATTTCCCTTTAAGTAGCACAACAAATTAGGCTTGTGAGTTATTCTGGAAGCAAAAGAGAGGAGAAAAAAAAGTCTTGCATTTAATGTGCTGGGAAGATTTTCTCAGGCTATTTTCTTGCTAAATGCATTAGCAGATGCTGCTGTGCCCATACAAGCCTGTGGTCTAATATTCTTGTAAATGATTAGCTACTTATTTAACCAACAGGGTGAAATGTGCTCTGGGTGGTTACAACAAAAATGAGTGAGGGATAAACATTTTTTTTTTTTTTTTTTTTAATAGCTACAGTGGGTGAGCTTTAATTTGACTCATTATCTTTTAAAACGTTATTGTGGGGTTTTATGGCAGTCAAATGAGATGATTAGCGATGATGATTATGAATGTCATGATTACAGTGGTCTCTGTGCCCAAAACTTCTCATTCGTGCTAATTCACTGTCAGTGTTCTGTTTGGATGTAGTTGGCAAATTTCTTATGTAAAATTGGAAATTGAAGCAAACAAACCTTGCTTCAATTTCCAATTTTTAGTTGCATTAAAAGGTCGTCATGGATACTTGTTGAGCCAGAATTATGATGTAAAGTTTTAGGGTCCAAACGTGTAAATAACAGGGGGACATAATTACCCAGGTGAGGATATGGCAGGTCCCTAGCCCCTTCAACCTGACTTCATCAGCAGTGTGTTTTTGCTAAGTTCCTTGTTATCTGCTTTCTCTCTATACACCCTGTTCATGCTAATGAATCCACAAATTAAATTGTAGAACAGAGGAATATTAGGGCGCCTGCCGTTTTGATGTGGTGAGGAATACTCAATTAGGCTGGATTTGGCCCCCGTAATTATTACATTATAGCTAAGATAAGTGTTCAATGGCAACAAATGCTTTGATGGACTCCATTCTGTAACAAAGGCAATGGGTGAGCAAAGACGAAAATGCCAGAACAGAAGAGCGAAGGGGTAAAGGGAGAAAAAAAAAAAGCAAGTGAGAAAGTGACAAGAAAGCTATCGCACGGGAGCTCCTGTCTGCAGCAGCCATATTTCATTACACAGCACCAAAGCTTAGGAGGCAATCAAGCATATTTAGCCATCCTCGTCTCGCCCCCCCAAAGCAATTATTACTCCCCAGTTTTTTACTGTGCTTTGCCATGGGGAAAATGAACCGCAGTACTTATCAGCTCAATGCATACACAAGTGACTGGGGTGGAGGACATGTAGGTGTGCATGTGTGTGTGTGTGTGTGTGTGAGCAAGGGCATGCGCGGATGCTTTGTTTATGTTTTGGGGAGGCGTCGGAGGGGAGGGTGGTGGCGGGCTGACCACTAGTGAGCAATAGGTTACCTTTTTCAATCCCATTAGCTCGCTAACATCAGCACATTTAGGGGCAGCAGGCGGAGCGAGTGGAGATACAGAGATAACCATAAACATGTCACCAAAAATGCATTGTTATTTGCATTCATATTGGAAAGAGCCAAATTGATGTGGGGTCAAACAGGGAAGGTGAGGGTTTATGACCTGTGCATAGCTCTGCTGTCAGCAGCTCTGATCTATCGGACCGGCCAGCCTTGTCAGGCTTTACGCCTGATTATATTATCATGGCTGACGATCAATGCGAATGAATGATCGTTCATCCGCAAAGGGGAGTAGAATGAATAAAGCAGAATGTAAACAGGACATTCTTTAGTAACACAGCAAATGGAAATGCATTTCCCATCCTGCAGTCATCTAGTTAAGTGATGCATTGCATGCCAGTGCAACACAAAACACTTTCAAAATACTTTGGCTGTCTCTTGCTCTTTTATTCAGCCTGTGTGTTTTTTGAAATATTATCTAGCAGTAATAGAGTGAAGCGGCAGAACTGTGAAATAAAAAAAAACAAACATACTTCACTATTCTGTGGGTTTTGAGCAGCTAATGTGCACTCATTTGGGTGGCACTGCCGCCAACTGCAGCATTAGTCCCCATCTGGGGACTTGTGTTTTGGTGAAAGTGCTTCTCCATTTGTGAGACTCTTCAGTTCTGGGCATCCTCCCCAAGCCCATAACTCAACGTCCCTCTATCACTCCCATGCGACTGGCTGTCATAATCATCAGCATTATGCTACCTCAATGGGCCTGATTTACAAGTCTGGACATGGCACCAGCTCTGCGCCAAGGGGTAAACATGAGGCTGTTTGCTGCCGCCAAGCCTATTTCTCCCTACTGCATTTAATGGGGAGGAGAGACCGACATTCATAACAGAAAAGTAGCTTTTTAGATCTATGATTTTTTTTTTTTACATGACTGCAAATAAACCCTTAAAAAGGTCTTAAAATTACATATAAACGAATGCCTGCATTTATTAGTCCAAACATTTTTGATTAGGAGAAGTTTAAAATGATGTGTGCCTGAGGTTTTTCTTTAATGCAAGGCCCCTCTGAGAGTTACTGATATTTTCTTTGGACCCTCCCCTTCTAACACCCTCCCCACAACGTGTCAAAAGGATTATGGGTTATGTAGCTTTCCATTTTGCTGAATGAAGGGTGGTCAGAATTTTTCCAGCCAGACCGTAGGAGGGTCTTTTGTTTTTCCACCTCATATTTATATTTAATTCCTGCCTTTCCTTGCAGAAACACCAATCTTGTCTCTGTTGCCCATTATGATCAACTGGTTGCCGAAAGTGCCAGTACATCCGTTTTGTGAGACACAAGATCTTCATGCATATAAGTGATTAAACACTCACATGTGCCATAATAAGTCAGGCAAAAATATCATTCAAAATCAGCATGGGATGTTGGACCCAGCTGACAGTTAGAAATAATGGAGTGACTCACTTCTTTGTTTTGTTGTGTTTTCCACAAGTGTGCCATTTTATAATTACATTTTCAATGAGCAATTAAGCCTTTGTGAAAATTAATTATTAAGATATGGTTTAAACACCACAGAAAATTATTTGCATTTTTTTCCTCTGTTGGTTAATCATGAATGAGTTGAAGCAATTTGATATTTTTTTTGTTATTCCGACAAACTCAGAATCGCTTTACTTAAAAAGAAGACAAAGAAGAAATAAAATCAGACATAATTTTCTCTCTAAATTTATAAAATGACTTTTTCTCAAACAGGAAGTACCCATATATTTGGTCGAAATTTAAAAAAATAATATGCAGCTTCTGATACTATGAAATTCTATGAAACTATATTGTATTCTGTCTGCATATGCAGCGACTCGACGGTCTCACATTGGTTCAGATATTGAAATATAGCGTCTTTCATGGAGTAATGATACGTCTCATAATATGTCTTTGGACTTTGATCATGCTTTTTTTTCACCTTGAGGCAGCACCTGGCCCTTCCCTTAACCCTCTCACTCATTCCATAATATTATATTAGCCCATATTCATCCACATATTGCGCCTGCTAAGTGATAGGCCACATAAATCAATTTTTATATATACACACACAATAACTGTTATATGCGGCTTCCAAACTGCCTGCTGATAGCTGCCATTTCTTATCACTCCCGTTGAATATGGCACCGTTATGAAGGCACTTTCGCTTGCCGTCCAAATGGAAGAGACTGAGAGAGAGGGAAGGCTTTTTTTTTTTTTGTTCAAATTACTTAAGCTGCCTACAAAGCTCTTTGTGAAGCTGCATGGTTCTGAAAATTCTCTAAAAAGAGAAGGGAGTCTTGTACAGTGGGGGAAAAGTCTTGATGACAGATAATCACCTTTATTCCTGTGGATTTTGCTCATTATGTTGTGTGCAGATACTGTGGTTCCTGTGTTCGTACACTATGTATTTATTTTTGCGCATAAAATAAACCCCTGATGGATATGATCAGGATGCATAAAAATTCCTGCAGCTTTCTCACGACTTCAGGGGAGGTAATAATATAAGTAAAGCAACATCCTGACTCTTGTTGCATTCACTCTGTTACAGGGCACATGAATAGACTCCATCCCTCCCTGTTTCTTTATGTTTCTGCCTCTCAAGAAATAGTGAGCATAATTCTGCCATCTGCGGTATTAATTTGAAACGCCTAATACATGAGCTAATCAAGCATGTTTATTTTCCCTTCTTGTTGAGTTGTGGGCTTTAACATTAGTGAGGAAATGTGTATCCCGTAGTTAATGAACGAAGCTGAAATGAGCCCTCATAACTGTGAAGTGAAATCACTGAAAACACAAAGCCCATATCCTCCATCTCTTTCGCTCATAAGGCTCCAGCGAGGGAGCATTTGATTTCCCTCCAAATGGCATCAAGTATAGGTGTTATGCTAGTAGGCAGGGCCCATCGGCGGACAGTGTGATGTCGTGAGACCGTTTGATAGACAACGGCACAGCAGGAGAAAGAGGAGAGGAAGTGGGATTCAGGACTACACAGCCAAGAGACACTTTCTCTTTCACTCTCTTGCTCCCCAACTGCTCCCAGTGCCAGAGACATGGGCCGCTGCACAGACAGATGGCGAGGAGGTGTGTGTGCGTGTGACGCAGGGAGTGTGTGTGTGCACGCGAGCGGTGGGTGGTGACGCCATTCGGCTTTGTGCAAGTGCAAGAGATGGAGTGCGGGAGATATAAGGGGAGAAAATGAAGGAGGGAAAAGCACTGCAGAGGTGTGTGTGCGTGTGTGTGTGTGTGTGTGTGTGAGCGGTGACTTTCT